TGCTGACTGCCATTGGCGATTGCCAAATAAACGGATCACCGATGTAATAAATGGATCTTAATTAAAAATTTAATACTGAACAGAAAACAATAAACTTGCGGAAAAGATGATATACCGCAAACAAAAGATGCAAAGGTTTTGTACACCATATCCGGATTTCGACAATTAATGTCTCTTCAGTGATGTTAGGAATCGAAACAGTATTTGGAAAGCCGTACAATTTACCTCAATTTAGGATAGACTCTTGAATTTTGAGGAGTCAAAATAGGATGAACGGATCATATAAATCAGAAGGCAAATATAATACAAGCCCAAACGAAAAAATATAAACAAGTCTAAATTGAAAACAACGTTCAAACCTATGATTGCGTTGGATAAAAACCGCAATTTTTATACGTGTGCAGGCAAAACAAATTTCTTGTTAGAGGGGTCTAAATACAGCACGAACAACATTTTCCAAAAGACAAATAAAGGGAAAAAAGCATATTTTAACAAAACGCATTTGACCAACAGGTCGAACAACAAATGTTCTTAAACCCTGCTGACTGCCATTGGCGATTGCCAAATAAACGGATCACCGATGTAATAAATGGATCTTAATTAAAAATTTAATACGGAACAGAAAACAATAAACTTGCGGAAAAGATGATATACCGCAAACAAAAGGTGCAAAGGTTTTGTACACCATATCCGGATTTCGACAATTACTGTCTCTTCAGTGATGTTAGGAATCAAAACAGTATTTGGAAAGCCATACAATTTACCTCAATTAAGGATAGACTCTTGAATTTTGAGGAGTCAAAATAGGATGAACGGATCATATAAACCCGAAATCAAATATAATACAAGCCCAAACGAAAAAATATAAACAAGTCTAAATTGAAAACAACGTTCAAACCTATGATTGCGTTCGATAAAAACCGCAATTTTTATACGTGTGCATGCAAAACAAATTTCTTCGTAGAGGGGTCTAAATACAGCACAAACAACATTTTCCAAAAGACCAAAAAAGTGAAAAAGTATATTTTAACAAAACGCATTTGACTAACAGGTCGAACAACAGATGTTCTTAAACCCTGGTGACTGCCATGGCGATTGCCAAATAAAAAGATCACCAGATGTAACAAAATGGATCTTAATTATTAATTTAATACCAAACAGAAAACAATAAACTTGCGGAAAAGATGGTATATCGCAAACATAAGGTGCAAAAATTGGTACACCATATCCGGATTTCGACAATTTATGTCTCTTCAGTTGTCACTTGTTTAGACGTACTTATCAAAATAATTATTTCTGTGACTGTATCTTACGATCCATTACGATAGATATTTAGCTAATCTGCAATCAATTCCATCTTCATGCCTAATATATCATGTACTGTGTTACAACTCTAGATTCTACTGAAGAGGAAAGGTAACACTTGGCCACCGAAAGCTGAATTATTAGTTCAGTCTAGGTGGCCGTGTGGTCTAGAGCGCTGGACACAGTGCAGGCGATGTTGTCTCGATATCCCAATAGCATGAGTTCGAATCCCGGCGAGGGAAGAACAAAAATTTGCTTCCGCAAATTTGCAGATTTAACATTGTTGTGCTGATATTTAGAGTAATTATGAATATAATATGTGTTTTCAGCCGTGTATCACCTTCACTGGTGAACCAATGGATGGAGTTGTCACTTGTTTAGACGTTCTTATATATACCATGTACTGTGTTACAACTCTAGATTCTACTGACGAGGAAAGGTAACACTAGGCCACCGAAAGCTGAATTATTAGTTCATTCTAGGTGGCCGTGTGGTCTAGAGCGCTGGACACAGTGCAGGCGGAGTTGTCTCGATATCCCAATAGCATGAGTTTGAATCCCGGCGATGGGAGAACAAAAATTTGCCAATGCAAATTTGAAGATTTAACATTCTTGTGCTGATATTTAGAGTAATTATATAATTAAATATATATTTATATATACAGTTCTTAATTTCCCCGTTGATAATTGAGAAATTGCTTAGAAATTAAGGTCCCAACTCCCGTTGGCAAACTTGATCTTAGATTAATTTGGATATTTTTTTCGTACACCCCTTTCCAACTGATTTAATTTAGTATGAACTTGTGTTATACAAGTTTAAACTAAATTAATTCAGTAAGAAACAGCATCAGGTCGGTTATTCATGTATAAAACTATCTCCATTTTTATAGTTCATTCTTATGTTGTGCTGTTACACCACTGTCGCAGATTAGAGGACTCCCGAGGCTAGGCACATGCAAACATTTTTAACCCGCCATATTATGTATGTGCCTGTCCCAGGTCAGGAGCTGTAGTTCAGAGGTTATCTTTTGTTGCTGTATATATCATTTTCATCTTTCGTATTTTTTATCTCTTTGTGACTAAATCCGGCCGTTAGTTTTCTTGTTTAAATTGGTATACATTTGTCATATGGTATGGGTTTTGTTCATTGTTGAAGGCGAGACGGTAACCTATAGTTGCTAACTTCTACGTCAGTTGGTCTCTTGTAGAAAGTCTCATTGGCAAGCATACCACATATTCTTATTTTATGTAGTAAGTATTTTTTGTCTTTGCCTTCTTTTTTCTATATTTACAGTAAGAAGTCAAAAGGTTAAATTTGGCACAGTATTCACTATGCCATGCGAAAAGGTAAAAAAAGTGTTTTTGATAAATTTTACAGGACACGTTGGTAAAGTTCGTTAATATTTTTGAAAAACGATTTTATCCGTATTAATGTAAATATTCTTAAAATGGTCAGTTCTGTCCAGAATTTGTCAGTTAAAACGGAAACAGATGAAGAAATATAGAAATATCTGAATATTTGTACTGAGGCAAGGGTAAAATCGTTTGTTACCCGGAACGATGCTACACTGAGCCGCAATAAAACCATTTTTGACACTCAAGAGAGAAAAGGTCAACAATTCTCACCAATTATTTAGTTTAACTAATAAGTTAAGTTAAGTTAAGTTAAGTTATTAGATATTATATAAAGCAAGGTTAAGTTAAGCTAAGATAACTTATTACATATTATATAAATCAAACGTCCTTGGACGGGATTCGAATCGTTACCACCATTAAATTGCTTTGATTTCTGCTTTGTAAGCGATAGTCTTATCCCTACTGCTACCCGAGAGAACATAATTAAGTGGCAAGTTAAGACACTTAAACTATACATAGAAACATGAATAGAAAATGTGAAATAATTGAGCAAAATTCTAAAAATAAACAAGGAAGGGGAGTATAAGCACTGAAAGGTGTAGCTTACAGCTTATATAGTATGAGAAAAAGTAACTATGGTTTAAAGATCACAAGTCTGCTACCAATAATTATGCACACTTTTTAGAATTTCGCAAAATTTTCGTTTTTGTACCTTTTTGCATGGACTGGCTCATATGATTCGGATCAAGTCTACGACGACTGTTAACACCGAAAAATGACTGAATATTCTTTGAATGAGATGAACCTGAGCAAAATATTTTCTCTTTTCTAAATATTTTGTTTTTCTTTCTTTTGAGCTGCTTAGTAGATGATTTCTGGATTTTCTTTTAACTTCCAATTGACTTTCTTTTATCATATTCTTTAATTTGCTATCATTTAACTTTTGTTTCTTTTTTTACTATTTCAGCCAAGTTCGGCTATTCCTTTTTGGTCCCTTTTGGTCATATAGTTCCTAACGTTTCTACGTATTTCTACATCAATGGCTTTCAAATGTTTTGGTATGAGCGTTGCTGATTAAGGTAAATCGAGAAAAGAGTTTTGTACGCACGAAATTTATCAAATGTTATTTAAAAACTTAAGACTGAGCAACACGAACCCTACAAAAAAATTAGGTGACATCATGTGCTCCGGAAAGGTAAGAAAATCCCGCTCCAGCGTTGGTACCCGTCATGTTACTCATGGTAAGTACAAATTCGATGAAATGTCCCATTCGGTTATGTTACTATCGAAGAAAAGAGGAATGGAGATTGTGGCTACAACAATTGAACTCATCTGTGATACAGATATTACATAACTATAGGGAGTCTAATGGCAATTTTGGTTATAAAATGTTGACTTAGTTGCATGCAGATCTAATCATGCTGATATTTTTGGCTGTTTACAATTTTTCTTTCGTTTATAGTTTTAAAAGGCCACCATAAAACGCAAAACGTATGTGTTAAGATATGTAGTTCAACGTCAACAACTCCTTCAAATAGTCGATTGACATTTTCTGTCATATTTGACTGATATTGCAGATCCTGGTTTGCCTATCATTTTTACTGTTTACAGTTTCTTTCTATTTTGTATAGTGTTCAAGATAGTTGCAGAAATGCAAAAAATCGGTACAATATTAAGGAAAATAGTCCCTTTAACTAGCCAATTGATATTTTCACTTAATCACAGTATGTTAACTTATTTCTGAATCTCGGTTTAATGGTATTTTTTGATAAAACTGCTTTTCTTTATGTATAATAGTTCTCAATTTAATTTTAGAAAAACGCATAAATTGGTACAAACGTCATTCAAGAGCAGCAACCTCCTTAGCTTATGTTGAACTGTTTGTAGATCTTCGTATGGTGGTCGTTTTTGTTATTAAATAGTCAAGAAAGAATCATACTTTTTAGATTGATAAATGTTATATATATTTTGTTAAAAATATCAAGTTTTTCAACGATCTTAATGTACAACTTTTATGTAAGGGCTTGGGGTCATTTGAAGAATAAACAATGAATCGTTTGAATTGTATGAGTCCAATTGTTTTCTCTCCATTATGCGTATCCAATGAAGATTTCGTACTGAAAACCAGTAAAATTCAACCAAAATTCCACTTTTTGAAATCAAACGGAAAATATTTATTATCATAATAATTTTCATATATTATTTTTGCTCTTGTATATGAAGACTTGGTGTATAGATGTAAATGGACAACGTCCAAATTATAGAATTGAACAAACACATGAAGTTCACCGCAAGGTCTTGGACCAGAAGTTCTTGAATGCAAATCATCATACAAACAAGAATTCTCAATATATTTTATTTTAAATCTATAATCATATAATACGACATTACATCACATCTACAAAAAACCACAAAGTATCTAAAAAAAAAGGTACATGTATTTCACCAGTTTACAATAAAAATCACAACAATACCGTTCTAAACTCGGTAAATAAAATATTGCTTATTGCGCCATATATGTTTCACAAACTGTGTCACAAAATACACTTCTAAGAAATTAAAGGTGATATAAAACACATATATAATTCACCAAGAGTCAAACAGTATCATAGTTAAATCTAAGTTTGTTAATGTTGTTAAAAAAAGGATCACAGTATTCAGAAGGACTATACTGACAAATGTGACCTTCAACTGAAAGTATATATCCTTACACAATAATTTGACCCTTGATGCTTTATTCAAATATTTACCTTTGAAAATTTTATGATCGAACAAAGCATGAATTTAATACCAGAACTGACCGATGGACAATAATTCACTAATCGATTGTTTTTTACAAAACGCAGAAAATTGTTGCATTTTCATTATGCTAAAAAAACCCACATAACTAATTGACAAGAAAACAATGCCAGTCATACTGTAAGAGTTTAATAGAGCTGATGCATGAGGGTCAGGATTGGGGGTTATTCATTTCTGTTTTCTTTAAATTTTGAGGTAATTTTTCTTTATAAATTTTGCCTGTTATTCTTTATTCATTATAAATTTTGCCTGTTATTCTCTATTCTTTATATTTCAGCACCTCATTATTCTCTATTTTTTTTATTTTTTTTGCCCTATTTTTCTCTATACTTATTATATTTTGCCCATTATTCTTCACTTTTCCCATTATTATCTATTCTGTTAACCACAATCAGACGTGACCCTCATGCATGAAATGGATGATTTCGAAAAGTGAAAATCGTTTACATTTCAGAGCCAATTGTGTGTGGTGTAATAGTGTAATGTTAACATTAGGAACTCTACATGTATAAATACAAAATAAGAAGTAAAATAGAAAAAAAATTGTTACAAAAGGATTTGAGATTTACACTATTTCTTCAAGCAATCACGAGTTAATTGGCATATTAAGACCATGAGGTTAGTTTCACAAATATGATTGGAAATCATATTTCCATTTGATTGGGCTCATCACATTATAAGTTACCATATGGTTTGCTACTGTCCCCCTACGGAGGCCGAATTCCCTATGGATTTTACTAACCTTCTATAGATCCGTAGAACCGTATAACCGTTGTGAACCGTATAACGAATTTATCGTACACGGGACGTTTCCTGCCAAGTTATGTATAAAACTACAGTAACAATAATAGATGACGTCACCATTATTATTAGACGTGGCGTCATGACACCCATATGAAGTTTACAGATTCATAGGGGGTCACCACATAACGGCGTCAAACCAATCACAGGACATCACAACGTCACTGATTTACCCGAGGTGCGATAAGATTTCATATTAGGCAATACGAAGAGTGGATATGTACAAAGTTGCAACTTATACACATCATATTTCTCAAATTTAGTCATATATTTTTGTTTTGAGTCAGCATAATGCATGTCAAATAGTGAAGCTAATCTTTTTACGTGAATAAACAACATTGTTTGTGTATCATTCAAAAATCTGATAAAGTACACAAGATGATGATTTTTAAAACTAGCAACAATTGCCAATATTATTTAAAAGATTTTATCTATAGGGGAAAATTCAGTAAAAAAAATACACGACATCAAGGACTGACTATTTTGGGGAGAACGTTCTGGGTAACACTAAATACCTGTGTTCCACTGATTGGTTAGATAATGTTTGTTTTTTTCATAAGATGGATAAAAAACTAAGGTAAAGAAAATAAAACAAATTAATGCTGAATAAAAAAAAGGTTTTACTACAGGTTTAAATTGTAATAGGGTCAGTTTATGAATTTATTGAGAACACTGTTTTTAAACAAGGTCATGTGAAAGGCCCAAAAATGATATGCGGCTTATTTTGTACTTTAATGTATGATATATGAAAGCTTATGATATCAAAAAGTAAACCAATTATACATTTAATTTAAGAAAAAAGTTTGCAATAAAGTCAAAGATAGACTTTTTTACTTAATTACCCCTATAGTCATGGGTCAGTAAAAATGAACACTTGTCTAAGATATCGCAAAAATTATAACACTTTGATAAGGATTTTATAACTTTCAAAATAATCAATGACAGTTGATACCTTTTGAAATTGGTACATACATAGATATAACTTTCTCACCACACCTTACTGAAAAACGATATAAATGTAGATTTATTTCGTTCATAGTATGTACAAAAAAGTTCAAAGTCTTATTCTAGTATTTAACATCCGAAAACAATATCCACGACTTTCTATTTGCATTCATTCATTCATTCATTCATGCATTCATTTTGAATTCATTTTGAGAGATAATTCTATGATAACCAACCATGCTTATCTTCTAGATGAATGATTTTTTTTTTATTCGTTAAACATGCAGAGCTTCCCGGGAAGAATAAAAAGGAGCTAGCATTATCCTTTTTCACACGTTCTGCTCATCGACTAATTCAAAATATCGCAACCATGTTTAATGCATCTTTTCAGTTTAACTTGAATACAGTATTTTCTAGATAAAGTGTAGTCTAGTTCATATTTTAAGTTATGCATTAACATTATCATTGAAAATTGTTTTATCATTTAATTTAAATTTTATGGCAAAGAGTGGATTGTGTGTAAGTAAAACTAGTACCAAATATAGGCAGCAATAGTTTACCAATGTTCGAATATCATAAATCGATTAAGAAGACAAACCACGGTAACAAATAAAAACTGAGGTAATAACATGAACCCCAAAGGACAAAGACCGGGTGCCTTAACACGGTTAGCGTACTCCTGCTTTGCATAAGTCAGTCGATCTTGACCATGCATTGTTCGACTTTGGTTATCTTTTTTCTATATCTGTTTTCATGGAGGAGTCAAGTGTTGGTGGTTTGTATGGTCTGTTGTACTGTCTAATATTTTTGGCAGTTCCTTTTATGAACTATTCTATATTGTTAAGTCATAGTTGTAAGTTTTAAAGGTCCCCAGTTTAAAAACGGATTTCTCAAGACAAGTCATGATATTAAATTTTGATCATTGATTTGAAATACGTGTTCAGCAAAGAGCTCGAGTCTCAAACAAATGAAAGACTGTCTATTGCTTCCTGTTTTGTAATAAGCTTCCATGTTGCTGGCAAATTTGGTTCTTCAACACTATATCTTTCTTTTAGTTCATTTGGATATTTGCTCATTACCCACATCCAATATTTTGACGTGTCAGACGAGGGTACGATATCCCAATCTGGAAAATGTTTCTTATATTCCCTATAATATCTGTATTCTTTCTTTTCTGTCTCTCCCCATCTATAGCGCTGCTGTGTTTGCACCCAAAAATTGCAAAACTCTGTCACAAGATATTTAGTATCTTCCCAGTGAAAACCGCCAATTCCTTGGGGTCTGTGCTGTATGCATTGATGTGGGATATCTTCCTCCATATGGGTTTTACCTGTGTGCCTGCAAGGTTCTGCACAAAACATACATTTTGCCGTACAACCCCACAGCTTTTCCATTATTCCTGATATTGGATTTTCCTTCCATTGAACAGTATATTGGTCAGTATTACGATAAGGCTGAACGATGTCATTTTCAATATCCTCCAAGTCAACGATAATGATTTCGGTATAATTATCTAAGTCATCCACGTGTCTATTTTGCACATGAACAAAATCTTCGTTTGAAAATGGAATTGTGTTTAATTCTCTGCTATGTTCAATGAATGATTGTATCCAGCTTGATATATCGTTCATTTCAGAATTGCGACAAATACGTGATGCTTCTGAAAAGCACTTTGATAACTGTTTCAGTATCTTTTTTATTTGCGATTGCGCTAAACGTCCGTAAGTGGTACAGTTTTCGTCTCCTTGATCAAATATTTCATTAATTATATACTGATTCATCCATAGTCTTGTATATTCACTAGGGTCATTTATGAATACAGCGAAATGATAAAAGTCTTCTTTTTCAGCTAAATCGATCATGATTGTTTTCATTAACGAATACTTTTCATGTGCAAATGACATCATTATGTGCTCCTGTACAATAATTGGAAGAAGTCCATCCAAATGATCAGTTACGGCCTTGCAGATAGCTTTTCTAAAGAAATTTGATGCAATTACATTTTCTGTCTTGCTATCCACAACATTCTGAAACAATGTCCAAACAGTTCCTTTGTATTCCTCCATTTGACCTTTGGGACTATGTTTCTTGTTATATTTATCATTCAAATAAACGAGAAAATCTGTAATGAAGGGTTGAACATGGGTGACGACCATTACTCTGTAAGGTGGTAACAGATTAAATTTGTAAGTGTTTTCCAGGTGTTTATTATGTTTATCTATTTCTTGTGAAATCAATAACAGTATTTCTGTAGCAAACGAAATGTCAAATCGCACATCCTGTGCGTTGTATTCAGTCAGTCTTGTGTCTATTTTCTTCAACATTTTATCAGTAACCGCAACTGCATCGTTTCTAATATCCGTAAATGTATTCCAGTTTTTCTTCTCGTATGATTTAATCATACTTATATGATTTGCCAGAATGTCTGATGTATTAATGCTTCCTTCAAGTTTCACAAGTTTTTTATTGGGTTTCGTTTTTCTATATGAACCTGATACAACGTTTCCAGATTTCTGTCGATTACCAAGGGCAGTGTTTTGTGCAGATTGGGTAATATGTCTCCTTCTATAGTTTACGTTTAGATTTGTGAACCATATCATAGCATACCTTATTATATGTGTAGTGACCATAATTCCATAGTTAGGTGTCAAAGCAAAATGGAACTTGCTCAATAGAATTTTATTTTGACTTTCAATATGACGCTGTATTGTTTCAAAAATGTGTTCTGCATACTTGACATTAAAATTCAAAGCAATCTCTCTGTCCAAGAACATATCAATTTTCTGCAAAAGCGTATTAGTAGAGTAAACAGTTTGCTTCTTGCAAGTATCCCTATCCTCTTTGTCCTTTCCAAAGCCAAACAAGGATCGCTTAATTTGTATATGACAATCAGCTATATCGATTATGCCAATACTTCCTTCAAGTCGAATCAAATCCTGAAAAATCTGGAATTCATCATCCGACATTTGTACTATATTGCTAGCTATTTCTGGTCCATATATTCTTTTGAGACTAGAATGTATATCGTCTTTTATTGGTGTGTATTCATCTATTTGCATCATGCTTGTATTGGGTTCAGAATCATCTACTTGGCACTCCAAAAATGCAGCATCTGCGCTAAACTTGTCCCAAATAAGAGATTCAATATGCTGTTTGATTGATACACTATCTTCCGATGTTTCTGTATTAAACTCTGTCATCCAGGTTTCCCACATGAGATCAAATTTGCCTTTCAAAATATCCCCAGTAGGTTTTGCTCCTCTCATTTCAGTTGCTAATTGCTGTGCACGTTGATTTATTTCCATTTCATGACTTTTTTGTACGTTCTTTCTTAGTTTTTCAATCCAAATCTCGTCCTTTGTTTTTCAAAATACCTAATTTTGATCTGTCAATTAAAACTTCGGACATCATCCTCAGTCTGTTCTGTTTGCTTTGTTTCCACTGAATCATTATATCCTTCAGGGAACTTGAGTCAACAAAAATATCCAGTTCATGGTTCAAAACACCAACCTGCTTGCAAACGTTATTCGAACATAGTTTTAAAATCCTTGGTATGGAATTTGCCAAATCTTCATCATTCGAACAATACATAAGTTGGCCTTTTGCTTCTGAAAGAACAAACTCTGAAACAAATTTTTCCAATTTCCAGGACAATTCTTGATATTTCTGTTCCATATTGTTATATGCCTTCAGCTCTAAGCTATTTCTGAAACTAAATACGAAATCGTCTTTGAATATTCCTTTCCACAAATCTTCAATCCGTGCAATGGTATCAGTAATTGTAAGATATGTTTCTCGGACTGAAGCTATTTCGTATAATATGGTACATCCGACTTCCTCGACCCGTCTGCAGTACCCTGGGTTTATGGGTGCCATTGGAGGATCACCATTCCATAAGTCTGACAGGTACCAAACGTCTTTATTACAGTCAAAATCTATAACTTGACTGAAAGAGTGAATATCACCTATATTTTCTTGATCAGCAGCTTCCTGTGTCATTTTATCCAGTGTTTCCAGAAATTTTTGCCTTCCTTGCATCATTTTATCATTAGCATCAGAAGCAGGTACGTTTTGATGAACAAAAATACAACTTTGTTTCAGATTTAATCTGCTGTTTGCAAGCTTAAGTCTCAAGAAGGCATGAACAGCTATTTGGAGAACATCTTTGACTTCTGCAGTATTTTCACCCTTGATATTGATTATGGTGATGTCCCCTAAACCAATAACAAAGGTTGCTAATTCATTGTCGTGACTGTATTTTTGATCAGCTAGTTCTGGAGCTCTTAATCCTTCAGTATCAATAACGACAATGAAGTCGACCGGAACACTATCCTTTTCTACTTTGACAAGCTGCATAAAGACACCACGTGTGCATCGACCTGCGCTTACAACGAACTGCAAACCGAACATGGTATTTAGTAATGTTGACTTCCCAGAACTTTGAACACCAAGGACAGATAATGCCAATAAATTCTTGTCTCCAATCATATCTTTTAACTCAGTTAGTACTGCTTTGACCCATATTACAGGTACATTAGCCGCATCTCCATCCATTAATTCAAATGGTTGACCGCTTAAAAGCATTTTTGCACCAATTTTCGCAAGATTGGTCTCAAGATGCAAATTACACGGAGATTCCAATTTACGCTCATTCATTGTTTCATACATTTGTCCAATTTCTCGAACCAAATGTTCTAATCCAAAAGAAGCCTCAGCTAGTTCAAATTCACTTTTGTTGAGTTTCTTTCTTAAATTTTCCATAACGTCTTGTTGTTTTTGATTTTTGACTGATCGTAGTGCCTGCCAATCCTGCTGGTATTCTGCTAGATATTTTGGAAGAACAAATCTTGATCTATCATCCAATAGTAATTTTAGCCACCAAATAAAAAAACTAAAAAGAAGATCTTGATCCAAATATTTAACAGTTATATCAATGAATGATTTCATAAATGGACCTAAATTTTTGCAAATATGCATTTGTTTATTTCTTACTTCTCTCATTTTTTGCTTAATTGTGTCTGCTTCTTGAATCGATGTATACTGCCTAGACTTATTCAAGGTTTTACAGTATTTTGTCCAAGTCCTCCAAGTTTCACCTTGAAGAGGGACAACGTCTTTGATATTGGAATGCCTAGTGTCCATATAGCGAAGAATGTATTCTGCTTTCTCCCTACATTCTTTAAATTTACTGTCAACTTCAGAATGTGTGTATCCTTTATTATCAAGCCGATGTGATAAAGTAGTAGGTTCTACATTTGTTGTCAATTTTGTTATAGACCGTCGAATTGACTTTTTGATATCAGAAACACTTGTTGCTTTACCCTCTCTCGACAATATGCAAAATTCCGTCTGTTTCATAAAATGCTCGATGCGACTTGAATACTCCTTGTAGATATTTCTAAGAAGGTTCTTGTCAACTGAATTTGCATCAATAGCTATGACAACACCTTTAACTGATTTGTGCAAATCTAATAAAACATTTCTTTGCGTTTCTTCTTGTAACAATGTTACATCTATCATAACAACCACTATTGACGAAACCAATTTTAAACGTTTAGTTTGACTTTCGTTTGTCAGTCCATCACCCCGCAAATTCAAACACATGACTACATCACTTGAAAATTCCGATTGATCTGATGGTAGGATCCATGCACCTTCGATCGTGCCGTCACTTATGCTTCTTGCAGATGTCCCCAAAGGGCAGTCTTTGTTGAAAAATGTATTGTGGTATTGATCCGTCAGAACATCATTAATCACTTTGGATTTAGACACAGAAATTTTACCTAAACGCAGAAAACCAACTGTATGGCAAGGGCAATTTGTAATATCTGATTGCTGTGAACCTTTTGTTTCTGTTTTGCAATCTATGATAATGGTCTGCAACATCCATGTTGAAAATGAAATTTTATCAGGAGTTAATGATGGAAAGCAAATTGGAACTGCTAATTTGCATAAAAATAGCTTCTGTGCAAGAATCTGTTTAAAGATAGGAGAACTACAATAAAACAGAATAACCAAAAGATCCATAGGATTTAAGGACATAGTATTTTCATCTTCATCAAGCAAACTTTCAAAAATATTATCATATTCTCCAGAAACCGTCGGTTTTGTTGTTGGTTTTGTTTCTTCTGATTTTTCTAGCAATTCCTGAACCATTTTATCTCGAGAATTGAAATTACCCATAACAAGACTTCTTAAAATTATCCATGGTACATCAGTGTAACTAACAGTCTTAACAGGATTTTGTACAACCATAACGTCAATTAAATTGATCTTATCAGGAAAATAGTTTTCTAACCCAAGATTTTTTATAAACCCTTCTAATACACTATTTTTATTTGCTATACCTTTGCCTGTAATCTCGTTTTCTACGTTTGATAAACATAACTTAACTATCTGCTTTTCAACCTTATCTGAATTGTAAGTTATTTCTGGTCTGTCATTGCCATCTTCATCTGTGATTTCTTTTCTTTTCTTTTTTTTCAAGATGTCTTCATTAATCTCGTCAACTATGTCAGGTAGGTCTATCTCTGAACTCGGAGCTTGAACCATTTCTACAAAGTTGCAAGCGTCATTACATACCTTTGTATCAGACTTCAGAGTCAACCCTCTGTTTGAAACTTGATTAGGCTGAGAAGGGTCTTCCTGTTTAACTGTTATACGCTCTGTCTCAGTCGACTCGTAGGAACTTTTGTTATCTGTACTTTCGTGTTGTGTTTTCAAATTTGACTTGTCAGCATTAATTTCATTATTGTCTTGATAACTAGACCTACCTGAAATTAATTAAAAAGATCTACAGACTAGGCCCGGCTGTTGTATTAATTATTCTGAATCGAGAAAACATTTACATGTTTGATGAACCTTAAATGATCTGCTTACCCTGAGATCACACTTTTTGAAAGGGGTTCGTGTTGATTTTGCCTTAGTTTTTATTTTTGTTTTTTTGTGTTTTTTTATTTTTTTCATGTATTGATGTTTATACCGGTAACAGTCTTGTCATTTGGTCTCTGGTGGAGAGTAGTCTCATTGGCAATTATACCACATCTTCTTATTTCTATATTGTCTGTCATTCGTCATGATTAAAATGTTTCAATTTCAAAATTTCACATTCGGTTAAGTTTCAGGGTTAAAACATTTACATGACCGATGGTTTATGAATTTGTTGATGTCTTAATGTTAGATAAGAGTCAATTACCAAATCCGATATTGCGTGATGCCTAATAACTTGATATAACATATCAAAATAGTTCAAAACAGTAACACGACGGACGCAGATACTGGAAAACGCAAACATTATCGTAGACGGAGTATGGAAGATTGTAAACATTTTCGACTGAAAGGTATTCAATTGTGGATAACACTTTAAATGTAGATTGTTCGTCAGACTCGTTTAGTTTTGATCTGTATAAATGACAAGATAAATGTGGAAACACAGATGCTGGATACAAGTACGATCCGAATATTAAGATCATAAGAATTAAACGTACGTCAGAGTACAATCATTTGCACTCAATTTACACTCACATATAAAATATAAAACCAGGTGTAACCCACCATTTTTTTCGGAAAATGCCTGTACCAAGTCAAGAATAACACAGTTGTTTTCCTTTCGTTCCGTTGGTTGATAACGTTTATTTTTGTCAGTTGTTATGGACTTCACCTTTTTGGATTTACCTTAGAGTTCGGTATTTTTGTTATACTTTTTCCACAAGTGATTGAAGAAATATGCTCCGAAATTGTTCTTGTGCTATTACAAAAGTTGATCACTTTGCAATGTGTTGGATTCAAATCAGTGTGGGCTTATCCTTTCAAAGCACAGCATATTAGTTTTTTGGAAGTTAAAAATACTAACAATTTAAATTATTTATACTGTTGCCTTTTCGGTAACGTTTTTCTTTGATTGCAATTTTATATATCTTGCTGCTTTTGACTTAATTTGTTTATGTGTATGGTTCTGTGGATTGTCATTTCATTTGACCTTTACATGTAAATTTGGTTTGTTACTTATAATCTTTATTAAAAAACAATTCAATCAAGATTATGTGTATCTTCAGAATACTGAACTACAAAACATAAGTAGGACTTTTCTCTCAATCAATATTTTTTTTAACATTTATACGGGCTTGATGTTTATAAAAAAAATACAAACAAAAATATCTAGGAAAGCAAAAGACAGGTAGAATTAAAATATTTCATTGTAAGATAAATTAACTTTAGGATTTTGACTTTGAAAGGATTTTCTACGTATCCTCGTCTTAAGACCTTGTGTTCCCCTTCCGTATTTAAGGTTTAAACTACAATACTAGTTGTGTTATTTCTTTTTCACCCACACTCTTGAAATCAGGGCTTTATTGCATTCAACTTTTCCGACAGTCCGTTCGTTTGTCGAATGTTGCTATATTTTGGACTTTTTTGGTAACGAGGATGTCATGTAAATATGTTTGTGACATCGTTACCCGAATCTTCAAAGTTCTGCAACGATGCGTTGTCAATTTATCATTGACTCTTGTTAACAGGAACAAAGTACAAAATCCAATCCAAGTTTGATGAAAATTTGGTCCATGTTATGGTGAGGTTTTGACCCATTTAGTCTCTGTCACAACATTTATTAACAATTGCAGGCAGGAGAAATACGAATAACTTAAAGGGAACGGAATCAATGCTTTTGAAATTTGTAAACTATTCAAATGTTAAAACTGTCTTCATAAAATAATTTGTATAAAGACGTACATGAACGCGAATACTGCTTTATTTTAATACATCATTTGTTTTCCTGTCGGTAAACAATCGAATCAAATATTTCTGTATTTAATACAAAATTTCGGAAGAAAAAGTTCACCATAAACCATTAGAAAATAAATGTTGCCATCATGTTTCAAATCAAAACACCACTCTCTGTGAAAAGTGGATACGTGACTGCATGTGATGATAATATATAGTGTGTAATTCAAACATGCTTTTGAAATTGATTCACTTTCGACAGTAATGAATTACTGCTGGATATTTAAACATCAGTTAACTATATAGGGCCTTCTTTACATAAACGACTGAAACAAAATATCATAAAGCTCACCTGTTATATGTTCTTCAGGGATCTGATACTGAGATTTGTTTTCACCACTTTCTTGGTTTCGCTTTTCGTCGTCGTTGTCTTGATCAGACGAATTTTCATTATCAGGTACATCTTCTTTCAAGTCTCGACCTATTATGTCATTAAACGAATTAATGCTAGATTTATCAAAATATATGTAATGGGGGAATGACATTAATGAAATACATAAATGAATTATTTAGTTTTAAATAATTAGTTCAATAGTGATTATAATCATATCACATGATACAAGAAGCCTGAATCGCTCACTTAAATTTAAAGTGCCTATTACGACCCATTCCCTAATCAATTTTAAGCAGTTGGTAGATGGACTATGCAGGTTGCCTTTTGCGTGTTCTACTTTTACAACATAGGTTCTATTAAGCATCTGCTTTAGCCCAATAATATTTGTGCCTCCACCAACTCGTGCCATCTGCCACATCTTTTTGTCGTTGTTGTTTGTATTTATTGGTACACATATTTTATGCATAAATCGGGTGTTGGTAGTTGATGCAAGATATTATTCTATCTTATTAATATTGGAATTTTAGTTCAATTTTATGTGTTATTACCAATAATTGTTAAAGAGGAACATATTTATAGAATAACTTGTCCAAGAATTAGTATGTAGAACAATATTCAACGAGTGACCAACACATTAATTCACGAATGCGTGTAGCGCATGTGTTAATTATCAGTGTTGTTCGGTTTTCGAGTGCTAACCTCACCACATATTCATGTTCCCATCAGTAACCTTGTAATTTGCTGACTTAAGTGATTTCTGGATGTTTTATGCATGTAAGGGGTTAATATGGTGTCGTTGACAGATACTCCATTTCGAATGATTAAAGCATATTGTATTGATATTTGTCTATTGTTGAAGACTATATGTTGATTTTTGAGAACGCCAAATTTATTCAATTAAAAAGTTAGGCGATTGCGTGATATTTTGGCACTTTCAATACAAATTTCAAATGGGTACTAAAAAAATTACCATGAACCGGATACATTTCTGCTATCCTATCTGATCTTATCAGAGCTTCCTTTTCATTCGTCATTTGTGAAACCTTTTGAATGAAACAATCAACATGCTGCTGAAATGACTCATCTGTACTAAAAACTTCTTTCGATACATTTAGTTCCAATACAAGATCTGTGTTCTCAATATTGTCACAAAATTCCACATCTGCCGAAGTCTGTTCATCGTCTAGAAAAGAAACACTTCTTGTTTCGTAAAAATGCTTTTCAATAGAAATTCAATAAAGTGTACTGAAATATAAAAGAAATCAAGGACTATCGATATTCGCATTAAAGCAGGTGTATGTAAGAAATAATAAAAAAGACTTAGTGATTATTAAATATTAGGCGTTCAAGGAGCTGACTAAGAAAGGTAGAACCAAACTAACGAAAGCTGTATATCCTAGTTGACCTAGTAGAATAGGACGTGGGTCACAGTGCAAGCTGTGTTGCCACGATATAACAGAAGTTAGGGTACAAAACAAAAGTTTGTTACCGCGGTATTGTGCTAAACTTCAGACGAGTAATTTTATAATTTAGATCACGAGCAAATCAAACAGAATGTCAAATCACGATTCAACCAAATACAATTCAAGACAAACTTTTGTTCCACAGAATATCTGTTATATTGACCACAGGAGTTTTGATCCTGAAAGATCAACCATGTTAGTCCAAGGAATAACTGTTTAAATATTTTCTTTGTTGTATGTTTTTGTCTTCAATATCTAAAATATATTTACTATGGCACGTCAAACGTTTCAATATCCAAAAAGAATATTGATTAAAAAAAACATTTATGTTCAAAACTTACTAATATATGCCACTCCTAATTAATGGTGATATCATTTGATATCATTCAATTTATTATGACATATCGTGCATAAAAGAAAAACTAAAAAAAAAACTGTTTAAAAGTGTTTACCTTCATTTGGTATGATGATGACACTACATGTTTCGTCAGTTGTTAACTTCAATTCTACTGTGGTAAAAACTAGCTCCATAAATGTCGATAATTCATGAGCAAAACTCCTACCATTCTGTAAAACAGAATCCTTAATATCTGTGTACAGTATGATGCTACCTTTCCTTGCTTCTTTTAATTGAATGGCTACAGAACCACTGTTTATCTGATCGCTTAATGAGTTCAGAAGTTCTGCTTTATTTTCTGAATCCTCAACACCTTTCACAACAAATATCACGGCAGAACTGGATGATGCTGCAAGTATAAATATTCGCTACAGAAATAACACTTCGGGTCAACTTTTTGGTCTTGGTAATGTGAATATGTTGAGATTTGAGACCAATATTTGACCTCGCATATCATGTAATTGATGTTAAATTTTAAAACCGGTAAAGAATAAATGATCTAAGAAATAAAATCCAAAATCTTTTCGAAAATGGTAACTTAATATAATTTTATTTTTAAAGCATGTATTAAAAAAGGCCTCCCAAATGTTAAGCCTTTGTAAATAAATCAAAAATAAAATAAGTCACATTGTTACAAAAAAAAGTGTTGCAGACAGATATTCTATAAAATAACATGAAGTTAGTGTACGTTACATGCAGTAATTGCTGTAAGATTTTCTTAAGCAATATTTTGATTAGGAGAAAACACCAACAAAAGAAGAATGTTGTAAAATAACTTACATTCAGCTAGTATCGTGATTTTACGAGTGGCTGACGCGTGAAAAAGTGTATTTGCCTATGTGTCAAGATAACACATTGTAATTGCCATTGAGTTGTATTTAGTAGTCGAAGGTTTTGTAAACTAAACAGTGCATCAGGTCTGTATAATTCCCGATTACATTTCCAACAAGATTGTGTATATCGACTTTACACACGGTGTTCGCGCAATTGGCATTTTCTATATATCAATTGACAAAAACAACGTGTTGACTGGTCAGCTTGATAAATATATGGTAAACTAAGAATTTAAAGAAATTAAAATACCCTAGAATATAATACTCAATTTCCCATTTTCGCACAGAAATGTCTTGTCAAATGTTTGATTTTTGTCTACAAAAATATACCCAAATTTTGTGTAATTTTTTCTATGGTCCATGTAAAATTAAAAAGAATATTGCTAATGTTATACTTATAATGACGTAAAAGCCAAACCAACGTCACTGACAAGGAAATTTGTACGGCCTGTTTAATAACAGTATGAAAAATGTCTAAGAGAACGCAAGGTCAGCAAATCTCTGCTATCTTGAATATTTCAGGATATAAATAAGATAAAAGAGTTCTATAATATAAAAATTACATTAAACGTATCCCTGTTTCATGGTACTTTCTTGCATGGAGCATATGTAGTGTAACTACATCAATGGCTTTAAAAAAAAGTATACCCATTATGTTACATAGAGAAAAATGAACAGCACATTTTTGTTAATTTACCGAATATCTTCTCGATGATAATTTTTTGAAAAGCTATTTTTTGTTGAACTGATAAAATAGAAAAAAAAATGTGTTCACCATCCTCCTGTCGACATCCTTCAATCAACTCCTTCATTGAATTTCCATAGAAAACGCGGATAACTTTCCCATCAACTGAGACTTGAAACTGTTCTGCAGAGAAAAGAAGAAACAACATTAACAAAATATAATACAAAAAGACTCCAGTTCAAGGTTTTTCTTTTTAGATAACTCTTCTTATGCACTAATAATCATAACATTCAACATTGTGATGTATAAAAATAACAATTGTTTGTTTTTTGTGCCTGATCGTAAAGAGACAAAATGATCTCGAAATCAACAGATTAGCTAACAGATGATAGGTTAACAAATTTAACAAAATAAAAAGTGGTTCAAATTTCTTTTAAACACGTTTTCCGTAGTTTATTGATGCTTACACTGGACCAATTTAGTTACAAACTCCTTTTGTATTTTCGTAAAATTTGAAAGTTAATAAGTCAAGTTTGGTTCGAATGAATTTCACCTTACGTTTGTGGGCTAATTAGTGAAGTTTGAATTTCAATAACTTCCGGGAAAAAGCATTTGAGTCCTTACAATTTAAAAACAATTGTTAATAGCACACGCCGATTGTTTATAATGAATAGTTGTGTATGTGTGACACGAATTCAAGCCGAAATGTTGAAGGGGTCTCAAAACAGTACACATTTGGATCTTTATTTTTACTTGAGATTATATTTTTCCCATGTTTTATATGTACGTGAAACAAATAGCAAACTCCTATATTTCTATTATGCCGGATCCTTGAACCACGTAGACGGCTTTTATTCGAACTTAAATATAGAATATTCCTTTTCAGTGGAAAATACATTAGTACTCAGTTGCTTTCGAAGGGTCAGCAGTTTCTTCTTTTCTTGAGACACCTGTCGTGTAATATTTCAAGTAAGTCTGACTTATTGCACTTACCATTCAGTGATTCGATTCCTTGTAGCGCTTTTGCATTTTCTTCCATTTTTTCATCAAGAGGGCAAGTTTGATACAATTTTATACTGTCTTTGAATCCAATACCACTTTCTTTATTTAGATAGACATCAATGCGCTCTCCGACTGCAATAAACTCAGTGAAAAAAAACGACATTTCATCATCAGACATTTCACAGTCCTTTCTGTGAACCATTTCATTTCTGGCATTTCTGATGCGTTCGATATCATCCCCAATTTCTATGTCATTCGGTAGGGGAGAAGCGCCCCATTGACGTGTCGGTGGTGGAATGAAGTTAAAGAATTTTCCGATCTTATATACCAGACTTGCATCTAGATTTGAAAATCCGTCCGTCTGAAGAGTTTGTATCGTTGTCATCTCTGAATGTTTTAATCTCTCTTTAAACTTTTTTGCTCTCATTATAATTTGGTATATTTGATCTGGATGAACATCTGATTTCCCTATTATTTCTTGCATCATTTGTGAAAACACTTTGATTACTATAATGCTGCATCTTGTGTACTTTAAATGACCTACCATTTCGTTGATGATAAACTTAAATTTTCTGAAAAAAAAAACCGTACGATACTTCTTTGGTTGTTTTATGATTTATGAGTTAGCAGTCGTGTTCAATATAGTTATAACTTTTTAATTAAACAAGACAATATCTTGAACTGATTGCTAAAAATGTTTTCATTATACTGCGCTTGTTTCTTAATAACAACCCTTGACTACCAACAGATTCACCAGTTGATCAGTTTGAAGATTAATTCAAACTTCAACTTGAAAAAAACATTGTGTTTAATTGATATTGTGATTATCAGTAACACTCGAATAAAAAAAGTTAAAAGGCCAAAAAAGTACGACGTCGAATAGGAATGCAAGGACTAAGCCTTTTGAATATTCATATTAAGATTGAACCAAATAACGTAACTTGAAATTATTCATTTATTTCTTTGCAAAAGCTTTCTGTAAAATAAACGATGACCAAATATTATTGTATTCCTTGGTACATGGAAAAAGTTTCAAATTAAGGGGAAATCTCGCTGTATGCATAAGCTGATGGGGAAGTTGAGGGAGGAATGGAATATTACCCGAAACAATGTAGTATAGTGAGCAAAACAATTTCAGAATGAAAGTGTCAGGCATTTGGACGTAAGTCTATATTTTCTGTGCATAGGGCCAATGTTGGTATCCCTCTCGTCCGTTTAATGGTGTAGGACATGTTCTCCAGTCTTTTTTTTAAATAATATATTATTTTGTTTTTTTTATTTCTGTTCCTATTTTTTCCATAATCTTTAATTAAACTGAAATGTGAAAATTTCCATTGTCTGATTTCTTAATTGAAAGTTTCTTAAAAAGTACTGCAAACATTTGAATGAAATAATGCATAGTTTATCAATGATAACATCTATAAATTCGCGACATTAAAAGGACAAGTTCATAAGAACAACTAAAAAATATATGTTTTTGTAATGACCATGATAAATTCACATATCAAGGATAACATATAGGTAATATGTGGTAGTGGTAGTGGTAGTTCATAATTTTTTACCATATTTATCATTTTTTATTGAATTCGTTTAAACAATTAGTTTCTTTGGGTAAAATTGCAAATGGATAAAATAAGCAATCACAGTTCAGTATAACCTGGGTTGTTAATAACCATTCATGTAGTATAAATCTACCATACATTGTAATTTAACAGCGTTAAAGCAATTTCTTTTTCAAATTTGGAGTATGACATGGGTAATTACAAATTTCAAATGTCCGTAGCTATTTCAAAGGTGAACAAAATACTGCATGAGGATTTTATAATGCCGTGTTATTTGTTGATGTCATTTGTTATTGTTTGACTCTATAATTATTCAGAAAACAATAGTTTAATCTCTTTCATTGAATTTGCAAATGTGATAAAAAGTTAGGTAAAAAAAACAAAGTTAGGAAAAATTAAATATAGCTGACACTTTATTCTAGACTATGAAGACATTTTGAAAATAAATTCTCTAATGTGAATATATTAATTGTGATGCGGAGTATATGTCAACTAAACAGCCAAACAACCTACTAGAAACCAAGCCGAAATTCAACGAAGAAAATTATCTTGTTAATATAGTGTTAACACTGACGGATATTTTTTTTTGCCGATTTATTAACATGTCCTATTTTTACTATTCATATTTATCTAAAAAATAACTCCAGGGTAATTCTTACAAATAAAACCATAATTCACGAAAGAATAAAATGTTCAGCTGTAAAACGATAACTTTAACAAGTACTTACCTAATATTTTTACCAATGCTCTGCTACGATTGATATCATGTATAAAATCTGTATTGTTACTAGGTGTGATCGATTGACATACATTGGGATTTTCGGAAAACGTTGATGCTAAGAATATTAGGATGAAAAACCTAAAGTAATGTGAAACGAGTTTCTTGTGATTATAATGTAAAGGATTATTTTCAGCAATGCAATACATGCGTATATAGTAAACGAAGTAATCTGTTCTCTTATTAGGCATCATCACCATAAGGCAAAACAGAAACAGAAACCGATACTGAAAGCGAAACCGAAACTAACGATTTTAGCCTAGACGTTAACATTAATTCAAACTTTAACAAAAACACAAGTACAAGTATATATATGTATACGATATAATAAGTTGATATAAATTTATCTATTATATTCATTAATCCTGTAGCATATTTCGTCCTCGGGATGGATATGCAAATAGTTCAAAAATTGGACCAATATCGTTTCGACTGTGCCTGTGAACTTTGAATGTTTCATATTATCTCTTTTTACTCGGAAAATGAGTGGTAATCGCGGTTTATCGGACCTTGATTGCGTACCGTTTTGAAAAGTCATTGAAAACAAAACCTGTAAACATCATCGAGAAACTTAAAACAACCATACAAATAGGTTTCAAGCAAGAGGGAGATATATTTTTCTGAAGCTCTCTTTGAAGAGGAATACTAGTATACAAGATGATAAAATAAGGTATCGAAATGTATTTGTTTGGTTGAGAAATGATTCCAGAAGAATTGTTCTTCATTGAGAAATGTATCATTATTAAAACTCATAGCATTGCATTTACTGTATACAGTGTCTTCATCATATACAAAACAAAATTTTCAACCAAGAGCTATAAACTGAATATAACTTGACTTCACATAAACTTTAATATTGTATTTTTATGAAATTAAAAAAGGAAGTCCGTTATTGTTTACAAATCAACATTACAATAACTTTTGCATTTTTTTAAAAGTCAGACTATTTACGAAATGCATGCACTAGTAAGCAGCAAAACATTAAACCACAAGGAGAATGAAGCAGAGAGAACCTGTTAAAGTTTTTGTGAATTACGCACGTACAAATTGGGTTGAAGGGAGGAGTGCGCTGGTAAAGATCTATTCCAATAACAGTTTCTGAATTTGTTTATTCTTTGGAATGGCATTTAAGGCTGACAGTGTATACTGCTTCCGTTGCATGTTGATGTGTTACATCTAATTTATAAAGGATTTTTTAACAATCCACAAAATTTGACTTTTCATTAAACTTTTGATTTTATGAATTTATGGCTTTATTTATCCTTTATTTCGAAATCAAAATTTGCAGAAGCTTCGTTTAATACTATAGTTGATTAAAAGATTAAATATCGAACTGCTTTTTTATATTAGAAGGTGAAACATTCCTCACTAGTGACACTGATCTCACTGGTAGATAAATTAAACATAATAGTTCTGAAATACAATGGTCAGGTCAGATGTTTCATTGCTGTTTGAGTTATTGTTAATGTTGCTTACACTTTTGCATTCCTCCGTCAATTCACACACACACACACACACACACGATTACTACATGAATAGTTTTGTTTTTAAAAAGCTTATAAATATTATATTTGCCATATTTCTATCATTTGTATTTTTTTTTTTAATAAAGTTGACTAAACAAGATACGGTTTTGTACAATCGGCGTCTCCTGAACAAAAACAAATGGTTATAAATGCTTTGAGAACTCTAAATTCTACTGTGAATGATATGTGAATAATAAATGTATATTATTGAGTTTCAAATTAATGTTTTTTGATAGATAAAAAAGAACTAGGCTATAATTTGATTTACAGTTGAGGACATGAATGAACCAGAAATACCATTAAAACAAAAACCTAGCATGTGCAGAGAGAAATTGACCACAAAAAAATGGAATACAAACAACACCAACCACAAGGAAAAGGGGACAAAATGAAATAAGAAATATAAAACATATAATAAACTGCTTGAAGATATTTTTCCCATAAGCAAATACACTGTTGGGTTCTCCTCATATAATTCTGATAAAATTTATAAACGGATAGTTACTGAAATAAAAACGTTGCAGTTATTTGTTTATATGCTTTGGTACATTCGTATCTAAGCATTTAACTCATCCATTCACTAAGTGTGGTTTTGGTTTTGGTTTTGCTTTCGGCTTATTGTAAAGATGTCCATAACGTATAATCGACAAAAACATACTCATTCGCTGATTGTTGGTCGAAAACTTTGACTGTCAATTTACTTTCCGGTTTGTTACCAAAGTTAACCGATCGTGACCTTAACCAATAGTAAACACAAGATCATTGATCATGTGTATTATAAGTAATATAATGAGCGAGATATTTATTTGGTTCCCATTTGTTACTTAGACTTTTTCATACCAGTTGTCAAATGATTTGGTGCACTACCATTTTTCTTTCAGAATAACTACTAGTGTTACATAGCGTGATTAATTATCATACATTCTGATTTTCGAAAACGTTGACGAATATCGGATTGGAATACCTGGATCTTTAATTTTACACTTTAAACCTAGACTGAATGGGTTAACTGGTGTAGAGGAAACAACAGAAAAGTAACTCTCCTTAAGATAAAGATAACAAAATCTATACATTTTATTGTAGTTTGTTTGCATTGGTAACCATACAGATTAAAAGTATTTCGAATTCTCAATCGTACAGATTGAAAAAAATATTATGACAAATGCATGTTGTCTTGATTTGATTGTTTATCGAGAGAATGGGTCATAAGGCTCGTGATGTGTTTATGTTTTATACATCCTTGGCTTTCTAATATTTGTGTTAGAGTGTTCCTGGTGAAGGTGTATCAAAGAAAGCTCTTCAGACGCACGCAAATAATAAAGTGTAATTTTCATTCATTGCAAAAGATGCTTTTTCATTCTGATATTTTTAAAAAAGTTAATCTTTGCAGCATGCGGATTACAAAAAAAGAAAAAAATCATGTACATACAAAATATAAAGCTCGTTCTATCCACAAACTGTCAGAGTGTTCCACGTAGTTCTTAGTATGGTAACATTTCCAGGAAACTTTCAATATGAAAAAGTGTCTTTTCGTGAATATAACAATTTAAAACGTATGTGCTGCCCTTATTGTTTGCTACTTTGAAAGGAATAATCATCACTATTTACCATCACGTTTTCTTTGGAACTTGTAATCAAATGCGTCCTCACGTGGGACATGTAAAACACTGGAGAGTTCAATTTCTCTACGTATGCAGTAGAGGTAATTTCGTGTCTCTAGATTTTCCACATGACCGAAAAACAATCCTTACCTGAACTTAATCAAGAACAAAGGTTTATACTAAATACAGACATATAATTAATGTCAAACTAATTTCCTGCTCAATTTCAATATACATGTATTGCTTATGTCTTCGTTTATTACATCGTACTTTAAACTTTTTTGATTGAGCGTCAATGATGAATCTTTTGTAGACGAAACCACGCGTCTGGCGTATAAAATGTTAATCCTGGTATCTATGATAAGTTTACTTTGTACCAGTATATAAAACTATGCTAAAGTAAACTACAGAGATTGTCAGACCAAAGCAATTTCCTTACTGATTCAAAATCTACAAATTATAGACTGGTTGCAATAGGTATTGACATTGCTAATCACGGTCAAAATAAAACCCATGACAACGACATCAAAAGATAATGAAAAGTAGTTTTTGTTAAAGTAGAATTCGCTTATACGAGTTTGGATGGTCATATAATCACCGAGGACATTTGCATCGTAAACAATGAACAATAAACTCATCATAGATACGAGGATTAAAAAGTTGGACGCCAAACGCACGTTTCATTTACAATAGACTCATCAGTGACGCTCGAATCCAAAAAGTAAAAAAAAAAAAGTTAAAAATTAATTTAAAGTATTGTTAGCCTGAAGTGTCGAATTCCATAGCCCATCAACTTGAATAAGAGCTTCAGGTTAATGATGAATGCAGTTGAGGACTGTGAATTCGCAGTAAATATGAGAAACTGATATATACCCCTACATTATTCACGAAAGAGGAGATTTTTAGGAAACCAAAGTTTAGTTTTTCTGTCCTTTGGTATTTTTCTGTCCTTTGGTATTAACATGAAAAAAGGTACAACGAAAATTTCGAGTCTTTATACTGGATACCTTAACTTCACAAAATCATCATCAAGAATGATAAATAGCCGTTTTGTCTAGATGTTCGACTAAACATCTTTCTACAGTAAACAATAACCTTCCGAAATTTTGTGATGAGTTAAGTTCAACCAGTGGTGTAAATTATTAGACGTGGATTTTAAAACATTCTTAAGATTTACTCCAAAATGATCACAATCACAATATTTACAATTTTGCAGTTATATCAAAACTTGAATTTTTACGATGTACACTAAGTATCCCCCATGCTCAATTAAAAGATCGACTACATCTTCTCTTAAAGAGAGCTTTTCCTGAAAAATTGGTTTCTTAGCTTCAAATTCACTGTTTCAGGTCATGAAAAAAACCTTGTAGGCGAAACGCGCGCGGTCTGGCGTACAAAATGATAATCCTGGTATCTATGATGAGATTATTTGTCAAAAATCATATTGATTCCAACAAAATATCAACCGCATATAGTACCATATAAATGATATACTTCATATTTGTTGAGTTTTGTCCCACAAACAGTCTCCATTTTTGAATAATGATATATCAGTACAATTTCTATAATGCAGCAAAACTACCGTTTTCGTCAAATTATAATGCTAGTTAACCTGTCTATCTAATAGTATGCTATTGTAATTCTGCTGGTGAATTAATATTATAAAAACTAGCAATGCGACTGGTATTAGGAAACATTAATTGGTCAATTTTGATATTAATAAAATAAAACTAAGATTTGAGGCGAAAATGAATCATTAACTGTATTTTTTTAAATCGGTCAAAACGCAATACTGTAGTCCAACGGGAGGCTCTAGAAGAGCATGAACTGCTCCACTTTCTAGAGTTTATCATTGGCTTTTAT